AAAGCAAGGAATGAGTGCGGTGCTAGAACTAGGAGAAACAGGGCAGGAATCTGGCAAGAAACAGGGTCCAGTAAAAACTCCTCAGGTCCTGAGCACAGACAAGATAGCACCATAAGCACACGTAACGAACTGACAATGAAACACTAAACACGTAGCACATATATAGGCACGATAATGAGTATCAGCTGGCGAACAATCAATCCAGCTGAGTGCCGTCATGACACGTGACCAAAACAAATACATGTGGGCCACAAAAACAAAACAAACCCACATGATCATACAGATACTCCGGAAGAGCGCACAAACCTGCAACCGTGACAGTTTCAAGGTTTACCGCAGCTTGGAAAAGTCCAAGTTTTCTGTTATACCATTCCTAATGTGTTTTTCACATCTATTTTATTTAGTTTTTTAGGGCAACGGTATCTCCAGCAGAAAACATTTTCTTATAAAGGGTCCAAAAGCAAATTTGATTGAGGGTTATGGGCCAAATATATATACCAAACCTGTACATATTAAATTTGCCATGGGTTATTTCCTAATTGATTTGGAATTTTTTTTAAAATATCTAGAAAACTTTGCTTTACATCATATTAACTAATGCAGTATTATTTGACATTTAATAATGAGCTTACTGTAAAAACATAAACAATCCCATTTATACCACACAATAGAGTTGGATGTGAAAAATAATAGTCGAGCTGCTCTTGCTTTTAGCTTGATTTGCTCGCAGATACCTTGTGCATGGTCCTCTCTGTCAAGAGACAGTGTTTACATTTTAAAAGTCTGATTCATTTACAACAATTAATTTAATCATTTATTTTAGTTGGCTTTTTTGTAGCTGAGCAATAAATCAAATAAACAAAAGGTTATGTTAAAGGTTAAGGTTATATTCACCCCAACCACTTCCCCATCATTCTCCCTCTTTTTTTTCAGATGGGATGGCGGGCCAAATCAAGGGTTACTATGAGCCAACTTTGGCCCTCAGGCCCTACTTTGGGCATCTCTGCTCTACATCAAAAGCTACTGGTCCAAAATATTTTAAATGTTTCTTAAAATAAAATATATTGTGTTCATTGGGGGTAAAGTTGTTTTACCCAGACATTTAAAATGAACTTATTTTGGAGCAGTAATCACAATACTGTGAAACCGTGATATTTTTATCCAAGGCTATCATACCGTCAGAATCTTATACCGGACCATCCCTAAATACAAAATATGAATATAACAGAAAGACATAAAACTTTACAAATTATGTGTTTACTTTCGTAGGCTCAACATAGTAAAAAAAATTATGAATATTGGATAGAAAAAAAAACACATTAACTTAATAAACCAATATAAAACAAACAAAAACTTAAAATTTTAGGTATTCATCTGAGAAAAAAATAATAATTTTAGATATTTTTTTAAAATGTATATTCAAAAAGGAGGCAACACCAAAGCTTCAAAAATGGCAATTCTTTCAATAAAAAAGGCTGATACAAGGCATGTAACGGTTCAAGCACACGGCTCTTCATCAGACAGGCTTTATGTGCTGCGAGCTATTGGCCCGACAGTGGAAATGCAGCTATTGCATTATTGCATTATTTCCATAGTATTTTTTTTCTTCAATAGAAGTTGGGTTCCAGCAACCAATATTCTTCTGGTTTCTTCTTTTGTTTTCAACAGAAGATCGAAATTCATTAATGTTTAAAACTACAAGATGAAGAGTAAATTATTATTATTATTATTATTATTATTATTATTATTATTAATATTATTATTATTAGCAATCAATCCCTTTAAATACCTTTTTTCAATAATAAAAGAAGGCATGGTAAAAATTTGCCATACCACTTTTCAAGATGCTGCTTTGGCCCTAAATGGCATTAACATGCATTTCCAGTGATCTGCTTTCAAGTGGCTCTAACCGAGATTCAAAAGGTGCACCTATTAACATGCATTCAAATGCTTCTTGTGTTCGGATTACAGCAAAACCCTTCATTCTTATTTCCTCAAGCACTACCTCACTTTTGTGGTGACGCACGAGTACTACCAAGGAACTCTTTTGGTACTACTGAGAGAGGGTCTTTTGTGCCTGTTTTATTGCATTTCATCACATGAACATTTACACTACAGAAGCAATGCTTGTTTGACCACTTTGTAAAGTGCACAAAGTGGACCTTGCAGCTCAAAACGTTTCAAACACTGATTGCACCTGAATTTAATTTCATTTGTGTATGATCAGATTGATTAAAATGCACAAAATGGAAAGGAAATGCAAACCGAAGCTACATCAGTTGAAAATGGAGCTGTGTTGTGATATAAATACAGCACTCTAGTCTTCCTAGAGCACTTTAAAGTGTTTATGCAATAGGTGTAATTTATCGTGACTGTGAAGCTCTGACAGGAACTCCCTGCGGGTCGCACTTCAGAGTGGCTTTTATTTATTCCATCGGTTGCAGATCACCAAATCAATAAGGGTTACAATAGTCATCGGCATAAGCCTCCTGAGATGTAATTAACTAAAGTAGGCCCATTCATTTAAAAGGCAATCTATCGGATTGTCAATAAACGCAGTGTATTTTGATGCCAGGTTTTAGGATTGAGAAACTGGGATTCGTGTTTTCTATTGAGCTGGACGTATATGGGAATATTTAATCCAGACCTGCACATTGAAGAGCTTGTTTGGTGTTATCTGAGGTGCTGTCACTAATGTTTTTGTCACAATTGGTGCAAGATGAGATTTAAACCAGTGTTTTAATAATCAGTTGTTAGAGTAATGCAGATGATTACCTTAGCACTGTAGGCCTGCACAATATTTCAATTCATCATTGAAATTGCAATGTGTGTGTTCGCAATCGTCAGACTGCAGGATATGCAACATTAAATTGGAATTATAATTGATCAGCCATTGAGAATACGTGAGATTTGTGGAGTCATTGCAAAGTATAACCATAACAGAGTGAAACTTTATCATATGTGTTTTACAAGCAAGTATTTCCTAAGAGAGTGTAAAGCATTTGGGTTACAACATTAATGAAGCATAATTTTACTGAATTATTAATAAAATAAAGACTATACAGTTTTATTTTACATTTCAGTATGCAATTTCTGTACCTGAATTATGTTTGACTGTTTGTTTTGATTATAAAGCACTGTTTATTTCACTTCTTTCTTTGCTCTATCCTAATTATTCTTGCTTGCAATTTTTTTATATACATGATTGACACCTTTATAAAATCACCCCGGTCAATCTAAATGAATGATTTTAGCTCTCTGGTGAAATTGTATTCATGTTGCAATATATAATCGCAGAAACACAAAATATCGCAATGTCAGATTTTTCCAGTGTCATGCAGCCCTACTGTTTTCAGCTGCCTTAAATATGAAACATATTCTCTGAATTAATCTAGATTAATATGGCTTAATTGAATTCTCCCGAGGGGCATTCAGATTTCAGAAAATGTGTGCTACCCAAATAATAAGTCTTTAAGAACAGGTTTCTCAAGCCAGGTGGCGCATTAGACCAGAGGCTTATCTCCTGTTTAAAAATACCGCAGAAAACTGCTTGAGAAGTTGTTCTACTGTGATAAAAATAAATGATGTTCAATAAGATGTACTTATGTTTAAACATGAATTTTGAACTGTAAGCCTACATAAGCCCGAAACAGTGAATTTTGATAACCTTAATTCGTCCTAAGTCATAACTGAACTAAACAGAAATGGACTTAAGACGTAGAATATGCAGATATTAGTGGCATTATTGAAGTAAACACCGCAATCAAACAATTACCATCATGTAGGACTTTTCACCATATTTTCAGACGAGATCCACACACGCAGCTGTCAGTAAAGGACCGCACTTAAATACAAACTCAGACACACACACACACACACACACACAGACAGACACACAGTTTTTTTTCTTTCCATTTGGCATGCGTTATTAAATTCCATAACACTCTCACCAGTCCTTACTCCTTATTTGCGTCTAATACACCAGTTTGTCATGCCGGCATGAATGAAATGTTCATGAGTTAAAGTGAAACTGCCGAACTGCAGTTTAAGTCAAGCATCCTGCTGATTTTATTCAGAAGGCCATTTTTTTGTCAGACGGCTCAACGGTCAGGTATACATCCATGACAAACTTTCAAGGTGAAAGTCCAACGCAATCTCAAGGCAATTCGTAACTTTTTGATTTAGTGGCTAATTCATATGAATTTGTACGATCTAATTCGTACAATTTAGTACAATTTGCTTATAACCCAATGACATTTGGGGTTAGGGGTGGAAAGTCACCATAGCTTGCGTAGAATGGACCCAGCTCCCAAAAAAACTTTCATAATAGATTTTTTTTTATCACGCGATAAAAGTCTGGCAGGCCATTACTAATTTTTACATAAATAATAATGAAACGCATATTTGAATGTTTTTATAATCAAAGATTGCATGGGACATTTTTGTTCTTATGCTCTTGGGTATTTTTTTGTACCTATTGTGAACTTTATTAAAGAAACGAGAGGGAAATATTACATTAGTGTTTTTGGCCAAATTAAAATAAATGGTCCCCAAAAAAATTCAACAGGCTTAGCACTACATGCATGAGGCTTTTAAATCAGGTTTTAAATTCACTATACACTATCCCCCAGTGTCTAAATCTTGAGTCTTTTACTGCAGTTTATGAATGTTGCTAACGCTGCACCTTGTAAAAAGTGACTAGCTGGAACATTTGCTGCTTACACCAGAACAGAAATGCTGCATTTCAAGGAGAAAGTCTGACCAAAAAAGACATACAACAAAAGAAATAGCCCTGCCCGTGCAGCGTAGAGGACTGACCAGTGACATTTTCCTCAGTGCATTGCCTTCTGTCCATTCACACTGAGTGTTAGTCGCCCTTGAAATGAACGTTATGGTTCAGGGGATTCCGCAGAGAGTGCAGACTAGGATTTATATTATAATATCATATATGTGGCTTTTTGGGAGATTTAAAAGTCTTGACATTCTTATGTTGTTGCTAGGAGACGGCACTCTGCGAGTATGGGATGTTAAGGCAGGGTCATGCAGATTGGTCATCCCTGCACACAAATCTGAAATCCTTAGCTGTGATTGGTGCAAATATGACCAGGTAAGTGCTTATAGATACAAATAGGAATTAAATTTTTATAACACAACGTTTGGTTAATGAAAAAAGATATTAAAGTGTTACTGTACTGTACTATCTCTACGCACCTAAGGAAAAGAGATATATTTATTTTTATTCCTAAGCATGTGCTGGGATATATGTTTAAAATTTTACACTACAATTTTTTTTATTCATTCTGGTTATACAGTATGAACTATATATACCAATGTTAGGACTGATTAGACCACCCATGTTTTCCATGAAGTTAGCCTGTATGCCCATAATATATTGCCTTTGCCAAACTTTGGGCTACTTATTACATTATTGTTCATGGATCATGGATGTTACCAACATAACACATTATTTGTCTTTAGTGTTTTGGATATTTAGCTGTCGAATTGAGCCACATGTAGTTTTGTCAATTTTTATTTTTATTTTTTTTGTAAAGACATATTAATTTACTGTTGCTGCTCTGCTGATAATAATGTGCTACACTCAAAAAAGTGATGTCTGCTGTTTGTTCAAACTACATATTTAAAATGAGCTGAATCAACACATTTTCTTTTTCAAAATTAGTTTTCTTTTGTGAATTATTATTTTTTTATGTTTAATCCGCTTAAAATTGTACAAATAAGTTAACCTAAATCCTTCATGTTGTCCCAATACAAATCTATTGTGTGAAACCCAGCATTTTTTACAGTGTACAGTAACAAAGGTGATATAGTAGGTGCTATACAGTACACTTTTCTACACTACAGAACGTTAGTGTCTTCGTTAGAGTGCTCGGCTCACCACTCAGAGTGCGAAGAAATGAACACTCCTGTGCTGAGCACCTGTGTGGAGACGCAGAGGGGAATTTGACAGGACTACAAATATTTCCTGAATAGCTCTATTATTCCTTGTTTTTGGCTGGTAACGCTGTCTGCAAAGAGAAACATACAGTTCAAGTCAGAATTATTAGCCCCCCTGTTTATTTTTTTCTCCATTTTCTATTTAACGGAGAGCAGATTTTTTTTCAACACATTTCTAAACGTAATAGTTTTAATAGCTCATTTCTAATAATTGATTTTGTCTTTGTCATGATGACAGTAACTAATATTTTACTAGATATTTTTCAAGACGCTTCTATGCAGCTTAGTGACATTTAAAGGCTAAACCAGGTTAATTAGGCAGGTTAGGGTAATAAGGCGCATTATTGTATAACTATGGTTTGTTCTGTAGACTATTGAAGAAAAAAATAGCATAAAGGGGCTAATAATTTTGTGCCTAAAATGTTTTTTAACAAATTAAAAACTTCTTTCATTTTAGCCGAAATAAAACAAATAAGACTTTCTCCAGAAGAAAAAGTATTATCAGACACATAAAATATTATCAGAAAATGTCTTTGCTCTGTTAAACATAATTTGGGAAATATTTAAAAAAGAAAAAAAATTCAAAGGGGGGCTAATAATTCAACTGTACACTTAAATACAGTTGAAATTAAAATTAATAACCCTCCTATGATTTTTAAAAAAATAATATTTCCCAGGTGATGTTACACAGACCAAAGAAAATTTTCACAGCATTTCCTATAATATTTTTTTTTCTGGGGAAAGACTTAATTCTTGTAGTTTTACATGAATATTTTTTACAACTATTTTAAGGTCAACATTATTGTCCCTTGGGAAATATTCTTTTTTTTTCAGTTGTCTACAGAATAAAGCACTGTCATCCAAAAACTTGTTTAATTAGCCTGACTTGCCTAATTAAGCCTAAATAACTTAGTTAAGTCTTTAAATTGCACTTTAGTCTGAATACTACTGTCTTTCAAAATAATTAAAATATTATGTATAACTGTCATCCTGGCTCATCAAAGTTATTACTTAATAGAAATTAGTTATTAAAAGTATTATGTTTTAAATGCCCTTCTTTCAATTAAGCAACCCTTGGGAAATCAGTTTAAAAGAATTTAAATTTCACAGAAGCGCTAATAATTTTGACTTATTTATTTTAAAAAATTTATTTCATTTTTTTTTTAACTACCCAGAAATAGGGCTTTTTCTTTCAAGGAAGAAAAATGCCTGTGCCTGTATCACCGTAGTATCCCATCATTACATTTATTCTTTTAGAAATGCAATAATCTCTGAAATGACTGTAAATAGTGGATGAATCATTGACCGCTGTTTTTTTCACTTCGCTCTCAGAATGTTCTAGTCACCGGAGCTGTTGACTGCAGTCTCCGAGTTTGGGACCTGAGGAACATCCGGCATCCCGTCGCTCAAATGTCAGGCCATTCCTACGCCATCCGCAGAGTAAAGGTAGTTTCATTTGGGGTGTTTTAGATACAGCATTGGTGTTAAAGTCTGCATGAACCAGAAAGCTGCAACCGTATCCATATTGTATCCATATTATATCTAACAATATAATTTCATTAAAGTATTATTTGCAAACTCTAAATAGCAAAATCTTTTTAGCAGCCATTGACTATCAATATACAACATGTTCACAGTCAAATAAACTGTATTAATGTTGTTTTCAAGTCACACTTGCAGGTTATTTTAGACCGCATATTCAAAGTGCAGTGGTAAACAATATAGGGAGTTTGTCACAAGTTGTCACTGAATGAATGTGTGAATATAAAACCAACTTTACCTGAATAAAGGTAACTTTCACATTTCATTCTTAGCATTCAGTGTCCACAGTTTAATTCACCATATGTAACTGTTTTTGCTGAAATCATTTCTGCAATCAAAAACAAGTGATGTGTAGGATTCAGCATAGCGTGAATTTACCTGATATGACATGAGAACTGCAGAGTCCAGCGTTTCTAATTAGCTCCTCACTTGATTCAGCTCCCATACCGCACAAAACAACATTTTTCCCATTGCAGCCTGTCCTTTTTTTTGCAACCGGGGACCCGTGTGACGTCATGTGTGACGTAGGTTGGTAATTGGTCTATAAGAAAACAGTGGGCGTGGCTTGTTTTTTTCCCACTGCAAGATGATTGGGTGTAGTAAATTAAGCATTTCATTCAGAAAGATCATTTCGGGAGAGTTTTGACAACCTAACACACACCTCCTCCTCATCGTTTCTGTTTGTTTCCAAAACTGACAAATGGAGGGATGTGGTTAAAGAGCCTCTGTTATGAGTTTTTGAAAATTACCTGCCATGCAGTGTGCAGCACAGCTCTAAGTGAATGAAAACACCCAGCTGATGTTTAAATCTGAAAGTCCACCTTGTTTAAAAATATCGATTATTTTGATAGAAGATTCGACTCGTTGTTCGTCCGGATCTTTTTCTTGTTCGTATCGATGTCGCCACAAAACAATACCAAATGTGAAGTGCTGGATTCGGTAAAACATTCCTTTCCCTTCAAACGCTAGCAGAGTGAAGGTGTGTGTGGGCCTGATCATGACTGAAGATGAGTGTACCTTAATAAGTAAAAGCCTTGGTGATTTATGCCATAATCTACCCTGCAACATGGGATTTGTTTGCTGTTTGTTAAAGGAAGGATCAGAACAGACTATTGATGTTTGGGACTTTGTCAGAGCTTGACAGGAACTTTCTTAATTCACAATTCATGGATCATTTTTTTCCTCCATTTCACAAGTGTAAGTGTGATTAAAATGGTTGCCTCCTTGTTTTCTCTAGCTTGCAAAATATGTATTTAGTTGTGTTTTGTTACCTGCAATTGCTCCACGCAACTTGTACTGTATCTGGTTAACTCTTTATATTCACATATCTCGTCCATAGCCTTGTTGAAAGCGTGACGCGTGTCGATTTCTTTACTGATTTAAATGCGTTTGTGAGCTTGCGATCATCCAACACAATCTCACGGCAATCCGTAGCTTTTTCATTTAGTGGCTAATTCGTATGAATTCGTACAATTTAGTATGATTTGCTTATCCCCAATGATGGTTGGGGTTAGGTGCCACGCCTCCCTTTTAAAATCGTACCATTTCGTTTGACTGAACTCATACGAATTCGTACGAATTAGCCACTAAACTGGCAAAACGTAAAATACTTGCGTTTTCTCGTGAGATCAGGCTGGATCATTTGCTGTTTGTCATTTCTATGGCCTCTGTCAGCTGTTCCTACACACATGCGGTGGTCAACTTTCAAAATAGTTCAGCTTTTGCCACAGTGTGGGTTAATACTGAATGCGTGGCATTGTTTTTACTGATTACTCTCTCTCGCTCTGAACGCAATCGCAACAGACTGGGTCATTGAGCCAATCAGCGCAGATCAGCTTTGCGCTAAGGAGGGGTTTGGGAACAAATGAATCGCTGAACAAATTATACGGAAGTTGTTGGGGTAGTTAGGTAAAAAGAAATGTTGTTGGAAAAGAAAAGCATGTTGTTGGAGACCACCAAAACCAAAATATGACTTTTTAGTAAAGCGTAATAGGGGCTCTTTAAATATGTTAGCCATGCCCAGTACCTCAGACTTGTGTAATCTGAGAACTTAAAAAACAGGAAGTGCATTGTCATATTTTAATTTAAAGTGCAAACTATTAGTTTTTTCTTAATGACATTCACAGATCAATTGATCATCACAAAACTAGCAATGTAAGCTAACAAAACCAATATGGCTAGTTATGATTTCATTTGTACTTCAAATTCTCTCACAGATATGCCTCGAGTTTGCTTTCAAATGTTCGCCTGAAAAAGATTGAATACTCTGCTGTTCAGTGTCACATTAGTTTGACTTAAATGAACTTAACAAGTCTGTTGAACTTTAATGAAGCGGCTTCAGTCTGTGTGAAACTCACATTATCCTTCTGTACTGTATGTGACAGCTATGGATTTCCTTATATAAACAGATTAGCTGTTTAATTGAGTTGGAGAAATTGTGCTCGAGTGTTCAACCAGTCAGCAATCATGCAGATCACAGAGTTCAGTGCACTTGACCAGTCTGCTGCCAAACCTGTGACCAAAACATACGCAAGTCATCTGATTGCCTGCCATCTTGTGCGTCCAAATGGAGCTGTGGGCTTAATAAAAACACTCGAGTTGGGTCAGGATGAAATCACAGGCTGTTTCGAGTTAATGGTTTTGCTCTCAGCTTTTCAGAGATGTGCAAATGTGTGAAATAAGGAGGTATGAACAAAAGGTAATATTGCACTGGGAATACAGGAGGGCTGTGAAGCATGAGATTGTGTGTTGCTGGATGTAATGATATCAAATGGCTTTAAAATGAACACTGTTTATGATGTCTTTATACTGTGTGGGTGATGAAGAGTGGTGTATGACTGGTCTTTCTCCTTTACTGTTCTGCTGATTTTCAGAAATTCTTCTTGAAGGATCATGACACTATTTGAGATGAACCTCTCCTGCTGAGATAATTAAACAAATGTAAGGAAATGCAGGCAATGGAAGAGTCAATCAAGAGAAACGCTTGAATCTAAAAAAAAAAATCTAATTTTTAAGCTGAACACATTATTTTTGCTTGGTAAGAAGTATTGATTTACCCTAAAGTGCTACCCTTTATATCAGCATCTCTAAGAAATCACCGACCGTTATATTTTAAAGGGCCATGAGCCTTAATGTGAATAAGACAGTAATATGATTAAGGTGTTTCCATGAGTTGCTTTTTGAATGTTTCTTTCATGATCCCGTTTTACATGTCATAGCACATAATTCGATTAACGTCATAACGTCAACACGCTATCAATATTTTCTCCGGTGTTTCATGTTATTTTGGGTGTTTCATTCTTAATTTATTGACTTTAACTGCAATTTGGCACTTTCACTATCATTCAGGAATATTTTATGTATGCCCTCCGTGACAAACGAGATATTGGATATGAGGAACTGCTGGAAAAGTGTATTTCTCTGTAGCATGGCCGGAGTGGGACTTTGTTTCAGCCCTGGAGTTTCAAGCCTTAGACCGACCCACCTCAGTGCAGTATCTGAATATATATTCTGTGCTAAATTCGTTATAGATATCCAGTCCTTTGTAATGGCGGTCACACAAAAAAAAATATGTACACCTACATAAGTAACCCAAACAGTATTATTTGTCTTAACACTAAAAATGAAAGAAAACAATAATAATAATTACTCAGATCAGGTACGAACTCGGGACGGCAGCGTTGTAATGCAACGTGCTGACCACTGGACCACAATGGCTCTTTTATGCTGGAGCATTTGGAATAAAAAATAAGAATTGCACTGTTATCTGCAAGACTCTTAACCACAGTACTACTTTCTATTGATGGCGTAATCTTTTTCTCCCTTTTTTAGATTTCTGATCAAGTTATGTGAGATTTATTAATGTAGTGAATCATTTGATTTTCATTGAGCAGGTGTAATATTCATTAATATTAATTATTCAAATTCTTATATTCACTAAGGTGCCGCTGTTTGGGGTCAAATGATAGTTACCTCATCATTAACCTGCAGGCTGCATTTTGCTCACGGGGCTGCAAGAAAATAAATAAAAAGAGCGGAGCTGCAGCAAAATAATGAATCAAAAGAGTGAGGCTATGGTCAAATAAATACATAAATAAAAAAACTGCGACTGCTGAGAGTGCAAGCAGCTAGAGACACCCGCCCTTGTGGTCAAAAAATGGACTGGCCCATCGGGAATTCTCCTGGTCCTCCCGATTAGCCAATCCGGGCTTGTTAGTAGATGCAGAGAGTAGGTTCAGACAGCCGTGTGTGTATAGACTATACTGCACACAAAAATGTGGTGAAAATCCTTCACGATAGTAATAGTTTGATTAAGGTGTTTACATGTTTACATTTGGGGAGCAGCAATTACAGCTAATCTTCCAGTCCATAATATTGTAGTGATATTACTGTAAACTTAGTAAGTAAATCATTTTGACTAAGGTATGTCTTTAAAAACTGAAAGAGTATTGCTGACGATGATGACTAACTTTGCCTCAGAATAAACATATAAACAAATAACACTGATCACACACTTACCAAATCTGTAGAGACACTACAATCAACTCAAACTAGAACAGTGTGTTTTTTTAAAAAGAGACGAGCGGCAAATCAGCATTTCACCATTTTCAGATCTTGGGTAAGAAATGTTCCTAATATATGTGTTCTAATAGTGTTTTTTGCTGTGTGGGACACATGTATGGCTGTCAACGTGTTAAAAATGTGTTTTAGGGTCCCTTTAAATCCCTGTAGAAAATAAATGAATGACAAACTGTTCACATCTCAAACTGGAGTGCAGGACATTTGAACTTAAATCTATATTTGTATTAAAGTTAATTATGAAATTGTTTAAATATTTAAAGTGTAAAAATGGAACCTGTTTATATATGCAGGGTCATATTTTAATGCAGCTTTCATTGATAAAGATGTCAGCATGTATATCAATTGATTTGTTTTCTGCAGCCACTATATATTAATTCCTCCTTCATCTGTTTGTCATTTCTAGTTCTGCCCGTTTTACAAGACCGTCCTAGCGTCCTGCTCATATGATTTCACAGTCAGGTAAGACACAACAGATACATACAGTTTGAGTCACATTCAGGTGGGGAAAATAATTACTGAACGTATCATTACACGTATCATTACTAACGTATCATATTTTTTCCTGGGAATAATATTTCTAAAGGAACTGTTGACATGGAATTAAACCAGATTTTGGTAAAACCCAAACAAAACAAACATAAAAATAAAACAAAACAAATAAATCTGAAAATGAGTTTGTGTAATAACAATGAAATGACACAAGGAGAAAGTACTGAACTACTGAAATATATTTAATACTTTATATAAAAGGCTTTTTTAATGATGGCAGCTTAAAGACGCCTCTTATATGAAGAATGAAGCCACATGAATTTGCTCAGGTGTGAGTTTTTCACAGGCTTGAACGGACTGTAAAATCTTGATGGTTCTTGCATTCAAGTCAGTGGATTGGCTGGGCCATTCTACAGCTTGATTTTCTTTCTCTGAAAGCATTTGAGAGTTTTCTTGTGTATTGGACTATTGTCTTGCTGAAATGTCCATCCTGGTTTCATCTTCATCATCATGATAATGTAGATGTTGGACTGAAGCAGTGAATATTAACTTACAACGATGAAGGGTAAAGAGGGTTGCTGAAGAACTACTGAGAGTTTTCAGCTGGGCTTTCACTGCCTTTCTACACCTCCCTTTCTTCATGTGTTCGATACTTTTGTCCTGTGTCATTTCATTTTATTACACATAACTTCATTTGTAAACTAATTTAGTTTTTTTGAATATATGGATTTCTTTGGTTGCTATCATCATCTGGTAGAAATTTTCAGGTTAACAGCACCTTTAGAAATATGTTTTCAGACAAAAATGGTGACATGTTTAATACTTATTTTCCCCGCTGTATAGCATAGTAATCAAAAACTGCTAATAATAATTTTAAAAATGAGTAAGCGATATCACATGAGCAAATGACTACTGTTTATTCTGAATATAAACACAACAGTATGATTGCAAGTGTGCTGTTTCTATAAACATAAGCTTAATAAAAATAAAAAAAAATGCTCCAATCAAATTGCAATTGGAGAACCGGAACTAACTGTCGTTTGATCGCATCACTTTTGAATCAGTCATTGTTTAGTCCTTTTTCCTGTGGGTGTTTCCTTCCTTCACAAAGCAATCAGCTTACAATCTTACACTAAGCACTTACTGTACATCACAACATACAGCAGAAAATCATTTACTTTCTGCTTTTTTTTTCCTACTCTTTAAATGAACTTTTCCATGTTAAGGGGAGATGATTTTTCCCAGTGACCTTTGGATGAAGGGTGAAGTCTGCATTGCTGGCACGATCCCAGAAAGACTGATGCTTTTGCCATCAAAAGGGTTGTAAAAGCCATTGATCTCATTTCAGGGTACACTGCTTTATTTCTTTTTGCAGGGGGCTTCTTTCAGTTAGAGCATGGTTGTGTTTTTATTGAGCGTGGAACTCATTTTTGCATGGAGGAAAGGACATTTAATAGAGCCATCAAGGACATGGTAAAGCAAAACAAATGCCAAGTTTTGACATTTTAACCCTTTAAATTGCTAGTTTCTGGCATTGGATAAAGTAGCACTCATTTCTTTTTTTTATTCTGAAGATTTTCTGTAAAATACTTTTTAGTTCAACCAAAAATAGTTTTATTTATAATTATTATCATGGTCATTTTTAGAAAGTGAAATATATCCCGCTCTTATGAAGGGAAATGACCTTTGTAAGAATGGTAAAATGGTCTTTGCAAAAATTATTGTTAAATTTGTAACATGATTTTCAACAGCAGGACCATTTACAGAGGCTGTGGATTATAGTAATAACGAACACATCCAATTTTGAGTGTCTTACAAGTAGTGTTTTGGACTATAGTAAAAAAATACTTATAATTACTAGTTATTTCTCACAAATAGTAATACAAAGATTTATTTACTGAATTACATAGTTAGTTAGTTAGTTAGTTAGTTAGCTAGCTGGCTGGCTGGCTGGTTGGTTGGTTAGTCGGTCGGTCAATTTATTTGTCCCTGTAGGCAAATTTCATTTGCAGCATACACTCACAGAGACATCTGACATTTCACATTTAGCATATACAGTTGAAGTCATAATTATTAGCCCCCCTTAGAATTTCTTTTTAAAATATTTCCCAAATGATGTTTAACAGAGCAAGTAAATTTTCACAGTATGTCTGATAATGTTTTTTCTTCTGGAGAAAGTCTTATTTGTTTTATTTCGGCTACAATAACAGAGGTTTTACATTTTTTAAAAACCATTTCAAGGTCAAAGTTATTGGCCCCTATTAAGCTATATTTTTTCGATAGTCTACAGAACAAACCATCATTATACAATAACTTGCCTAATTACCCTATCCTGCCTAGTTACCCTGATTAACCTAGTTAAGCCTTTAAATGTCACTATAAGCTGGATAGAAGTGTCTTGAAAATATCTAGTAAAATATTATTTACTGTCATCATGGCAAAGATCAAAGAAATTAGTTATTAGAAATGAATAATTAAAACTATTATGTTTAGAAATGTGTTGAAAAAATATTCTATTCATTAAACAGAAATTTGGGAAAAAAAATAAACGGGGCTAATAATTCAGGGGGCTAATAATTTTGACTTCAACTGTATATATAAATAAATCATATAAAAACATGGTACTCTACTCTAAATAAATATCCAGTTTACTGGCCCTTAAGTGCTCCTGAGAGAGGAGGAATTTAAAAACTTAATTGCCTGAGGTATAAATTAATATTTTGTCCTATTTCTTACACATCTGAAAACACAATATCGACAACCTGTTGCTAATAATTGGAAGGTGTTTGATAAAGTACTGTACTGTATGTTTCTCATCATTGACAATCATGATAGCCTTGTTTTATATAAGTAACTGATTACCAGGGAAGTAATTATTGTGTTACTTTTAAAAAGAAAAATGTCACGAATTACAAACTGTATGTTGAACAAAAAGGGGTCACACTTTATTTTGATGGTCGGTTTGTTGAATTCAAGTTACATTGCATCTACATGCCAACTAATTCTTATTAGATTATAAGTAGACTGTTAGGTTGGGGTTAGGGTTAGTGTAAATTGACGTGTACTTGCAAAGTTTCTTTTAGTCAGTTAAATGTCTGTTTAGCAGCAGTATTAACAGATATTAAGCAGACAGTCTACTAATACTCAAATGGACCATCTAAATAAAGTGTTACTAAAATGGACACTAAATTGTGGTTGTACCACCCTTGCACACACATGACAATCATCATCAGTTATGTGCCCTACTCTCACACACCAGAGAGAGTCAGATCTCAGAGCTCAATTGTAAATTATAGATCAATTACATAATGCCACATTTTATTGTCAGTAACTTTAATGCCATTGTAAGGGGTTAAATGTATTAAATTTATTAGATTACTCGTTACTGAAAAAAGTAATTCTGTTGGTAGCGCCATTTATTTATAATGCCCATCACTGCTTACTTGCACCTTCTGTTTCACTTCATAAGATCTTTATGTGTCATTAGAAGTCATATGCATTAATTTAGTTTTGCCTATATATGTTTTTGGTTTACTCTTAAAGTGCCGGTTAACCAGCTAAAAATATTTATAAATTTTTTTTTTAAAATAACTTACATCTTGGATGCAACACCAAACATTGTTATTTTTTTGGGTTGAGCTAACGTTAATTGTTATTAGGTCCTAAAGACATTTTTAGATCTCAGAGTAAAAAACCTTATTTAACAGTAGTCTGGATTGCAATTAAAAATTGGCATCTTTCATGTGACTGCTAAACATCTAGTATTGTTTTAGGTTCGGCAAAAGGGAAGCTCTGCAACATGATTTTTATAAATGATAGAGAGATGGATGCATGTTTAACTTACAGAATGCCAACTAATCTTTGTGTCGGCTGTTGAAGAAAGATTACACTTTATCTGGGTTGACAAGCTTTTAAATTGAGAATTGACTCACATTGAGCAGTGTTGCCACAAGTGCTCCTATTTAGAGGTGAGTTTGATTTTTCTTTAGGTGATGCTTGTCACTTCATTGTTTAAACGTTATCTGTTTTTCTGAGCCGGGAGCCTGTCTGACCTGAGATAAACACTGATAATGATGAATTCAGATCCCTGCAAATATAAGAGAACAAAAGAAATACTATAGTGTTTACACTTGTAAACAGCTAAATGTTCACTAGCAAAATATGCATCTAAAATGATTTCCATCCAAAGTTGCCAAATTAAAGTGTTACATAAACTAAAACACTGGTAATCAGTGGTTGAAAGAGTACTGAAAAATCATACTCAAGTAAAAGTACCATTACTTGCCCAAAAATGTAGTGCAAATAGAGTAAAAGTATCTGTTGTACATATTACTCAAAGTATTAATATGAGTAAAAAGTCAGTATGAGTCAAAAGTGGCCCTTTTAAAAGTACTCAAATGTAGTGAGTTGTGAGAATTACGCTGTGAACAGCTGATGCGTTTACATGCAATTTGTGCATGGGTGTGTGTGAAAACGTAACATTCTGTAGTGCATTTAGTTATTGTTTAAGGCTATTTGGCGATTTCAGTCATCATACAATTTATATTCTTCATCTTCTCATCAGTGACATGCTTTCTAAACAGTCACTGAGTCATTGCATGAAAAGATTTTGGACATCTTCTTGGACACTTTTTAATGCTTCCAAATGGTTTGCTGCATTTATAAAGCGCCCCATATTTTTAGGTTGTTCGGTGTGATGCAATTTACAGGAATCACAAGAGTTTTCTGCTCAGCCTATCCCCATAGACAAGAAAAAAAAACTAAAGTAGTGACTCGAGTTTGAAGAAAAATAATAGGGTAAAAGTACAGATACATTACCAAAAATGTTTTAAAAAATTACAAAAAAATGTCTAAAACTAGCTAGTAAATTACAATTCTTGAAAGAAACTACTCAATTACTGTTAATTGAGCATTTGTAGTTTGTAACTTTAAACTACTGCTGGTAATAAAGCACTGTTTCCATATCAGCA